TAGCCAGAATGTACACCCCTACTGTAAACAATAATAAATTATTCACTCACTACCAAATTTGTGCTCTTGTTGCCATTTGTTTAAGGTATTCTCACATTGAAGGCCTGGTACGTCCAGCACATTTATCTTATGAATCCAGATCCATAAATCCATAAGGGCTAAAATGCACTCGTGTCTAGCTGACCGGGCTCTCTCTGTCTCTATTTGAGCACAGAGGGCTGAGCTGTTGACACAGCGCTGCGAGTATTGAACAAGGATCTATAGGTGATTGATGAGGCTGGAGGGGATCAATAACGCTTCTGTCAGTGTGGGGCTGGGCTTATGCTGTCCTTGTAAGTAAAAGTGAGAGACAGAGAGAGAGAGAAAGAGAGGAAGACAACGTACACTTTCACAGTGAAGTGTTAAACCAGCCACGTAACATAACAGCGTCCTCAAACTGAAAGTATGTGGCGTGAGATCGTTATCACAATGTTATAACAAGTTTTTATGAGCATGCTGTGGATGTCAGTACTAAAAGACCAACCACTCTTTCATTAAAAAGAGATTTAACATAGACTCACAGGGGGTGAAGCTAACACAGGTTTTCTCCTGTTGTCAGGAGATTGTGGGTTCAAATCCCTGGATATGGTAATGCCCAGTAATATGCTGATTAAAACAACATGTACTCACAGTTTTAAATGTGGTGTGCCAACACTTGTGGAACAAAACGTTAAATATAAGCTGTGTGTCAATGTCTAGTGTGTTGTCTGCACAAGCACAACCAACCCGAAGGCTGTTTGCTTTATTACCCACCAAGGTATCTTGTGCATCCTTAATTGTTAAGGGAATCTGCAGTGTTCATTCAGTAAGACTGCTGAATTTAAGTTATTTCGATCACTGTTCTAGTTTTTGGTATATCGAGTGTATTCATAGATTAGCATCTTAACCAAACCCCAGCCAACTGGATACAACTGGTTTGCTGGATATGGATTACATTCAATTGTAAAGTCAATGGTGATTCAACACTGAAAATCCTTTTTAGTCTTGGCTTAAGCTTGATATTAGTCTGGGAAACGAGCCCATGAGGTTCCACTTCTGTTAAAATACTGGCTATCCAGAAAGCTGCCAGTGAGTGCAGGACAAAAGAGGTATGTTTCAATACCTAGACGTTAAACTCCACTGGCATTCAAATCAATACATGAACAATAGCCACCTTATTTTTAAAGTGACTACAGTATTTCAAGAGCTGAAATATCTAGAGAAGGGAAGTGACTTCAAGTGACTTTAGCAAAGTAAGAAGAGTGTGGTTACCCTTCAAGTTATCTGGTTATCCTTTTATGTCCCATTAAATCTGGGACATTCTGGGACAAAGCGCATTTTGCAGCTGAGTAAAGAAATTTACAAGCATAAACCTCCCAACAACCAGTGCTTCAGAAGACAGTGTGGCTTCATAAGGACTCCTGGAAAAAGTCCAGTATTTAAAATTCGTGCTCATAAAATCCAACTGATGCATTGCAAGATGAACTTAACTAGAGCTCAAATCAAAATGAAATACAGTGCTAAGCTAACCCCACTAGTTCGGTACTAACATACAATGGTGAAAATAACAGAAACGATAATTCTCATAGTGCTTTTTTGTTATACTTACGCAAATTAATACACTTCTACACTGAACACGGCTATGTAAAGGCATGCACTTTGTTTTTTTCTTTCAGTATAAGCAAAATGTAAAAATGTAACTATTAGCATAAATACCTGGTATAAAAAAGTGTTTCTCTCACAGCTGTTCAGGTTTCTGTTGACAGACTGATTGCAAACACTGGCACACAGGCATTCAGACATTAACCAACAATAAGCATTATTTGCGATTTGATTTTTTAAAAATATTCCTATTATTTTAGGGTGTTATTACCTTTTAGCATATCGTCTGTTCACACTTCACCAGATGTTCTGTCCAAAAGTCACTCAAGGCATCACAGACTACAGGAATGATGTGGATTCTCTAGCCTACTTCGTTGGGATGTTAATGCTGCAACAGTGTAGAGGGTATTTTAAACAAAGGCTGACCTAAAGAGATGCAGGACACTATGTACTTAGGAATGAGACAAAGAATCCTGCTTTAGGAAAGAAAAACTGCCTCTTCAGCACTTCCAACCAGCGTCAGACCCCATTTAAAACAGGTCGAATGAGACCAACACACACAGTCTCTCGGGAGCAGGCAGTTATGCAGCGCAGCGTGAGTGTGTCATTTTGAGGACGAATGGTCGGAGGTGAGGAAGTGTGAGCCCCTCTCCCCATGTGGCCCAGCAGGGAGAGAGGAGGAGATCCGAGAGGGAGCAGCAGGAGGGCGTCAGTTTAAGGACAAAATGAATACGAGTCTGCCTGGAGGCCTCACCCTGCCCACTGTACCAAAGGACGGCCTGGCTCACCCCGGCCGCTTTGCAGAAAGGACGTGTGTGTGTTGCCTTTGCCAAGTTTGCTTAGCCTGCAAAGGCAACGTACACACAAACACAAACACAACAGGCCTGTCTGACCCCCGCTGCAAAAGCAAAGCCTGTCTGGCCCCTTTTACGGTACTAAAGCAAAGCCTGTCTGACCCCTACTATGGTACTAAAGCAAAGCCTGTCTGACCCCTACTATGGTACTAAAGCAAAGCCTGTCTGGCCCCTTTTACGGTACTAAAGCAAAGCCTGTCTGACCCCTACTATGGTACTAAAGCAAAGCCTGTCTGACCCCTACTACGGTACTAAAGCAAAGCCTGTCTGACCCCTACTATGGTGCTAAATCAAAAAGACTGTCTGGCCCCTATTACGGTACTAAAGCAAAGACTGTCTGACCCCTACTACGGTGCTAAATCAAAAAGACTGTCTGACCCCTACTACGGTGCTAAATCAAAAAGACTGTCTGACCCCGTCTACGGTGCTAAATCAAAAAGACTGTCTGACCCCTACTATGGTGCTAAATCAAAAAGACTGTCCAACCCACACTACAGAACTAAAGCAAAGCATGTCTGACTCCCATTATAGTACCAAAGCAAAGCCTGTCTGATTCCCACTACAGTAGCAAAAGCAAAGCCTGTCTGACCCCTACTATGGTACTAAAGCAAAGCCTGTCTGACCCCTACTACAGTACCTAAACAAAGACCGTCTAACACCCACTACAGTACTAAAACAAACGCCGCCTGTCCAACCCACACTATAGCACCAAAGCAAAGCCTGTCTGACTCCCACTACAGTAGTAAAGCAAAGCCTGTCTCACTCCCACTACGATACACTACAGCACCGAAGTAAAACTGTTTCTGCTTCTATGGTATTTAAGCAAAGATTGTCTAACCCCCACTACAGTACCAAAGCAAAGCCTGTCTGACCCCTACTACAGTACCAAAGCAAAGCCTGTCTGACCCCTACTACAGTACCAAAGCAAAGCCTGTCTGACCCCTACTACAGTACCAAAGCAAAGACTGCCTGATCCCTTCTATAGTATTTAAGCAAAGCCTGTCTGACCCCTACTACAGTACCAAAGCAAAGACTGTCTGACCCCTACTACAGTACCAAAGCAAAGACTGCCTGATCCCTTCTATAGTATTTAAGCAAAGCCTGTCTGACCCCTACTACAGTACCAAAGAAAAGCCTGTCTGACCCCCACTACAGTACCAAAGCAAAGCCTGTCTGACCCCTACTACAGTACCAAAGCAAAGCCTGTCTGACCCCTACTACAGTACCAAAGAAAAGCCTGTCTGACCCCCACTACAGTACCAAAGCAAAGCCTGTCTGACCCCTACTACAGTACCAAAGCAAAGCCTGTCTGACTCCTACTACAGTACCAAAGCAAAGCCTGTCTGACCCCCACAGTAGTACCAAAGTAAAGACTGTCCGACCCCCACTACAGTACCAAAGCAAAGCCTGTCTGACCCCCACTGTAGTACCAAAGCAAAGCCTGTCTGACCCCCACTACAGTACCAAAGCAAAGCCTGTCTGACCCCCACTACAGTACCAAAGCAAAGACTGCCTGATCCCTTCTATAGTACTTAAGCAAAGTCTGTCTGACCCCCACTACAGTACCAAAGCAAAGCCTGTCTGACCCCCACAGTAGTACCAAAGCAAAGCCTGTCTGACCCCCACAGTAGTATCAAAGTAAAGACTGTCTGGCCCCCACTACGGTACTAAAACAAAGCCTGTCTGTGAGCAATGAGTGATGTTGAAGAGCAGAGGAAACTGCATCTTTTAAAAAACAAAAACAACTTTTTTAGTCAACTGTTGTAAGTAATTTGGGCATATATTATATATCATATTCTCTATGATCAAGTCTCCCCACCCCAATTAACAACAATAATAAAAACAAGATTTCTATGAGCACATATTAAACTCAGGGCTATCAGTCTCTAAACCAAGCCCTGTGAGTTTCCAGCCTGCAGATGGTCAGGTAACTGCCACTCTCATTTATTCTCGAAATAAATTTAAGAGAGATTATACTAAGTAGCTGGCAGTTCAACCAGGGAACTCCTTTGTGCTGATGAAACTGGTGTTGATACTGACACAGTGGCCTCAAATTAGAGCTCAAAAATTATTTAGAAATTAGCACTGCATACTTCATTCATTTCTGGCTTTATAAAACTCATTTGGGTTATTAAAATTATTAACAATTTTAATTACTGAATTATACTGAATATAATTTGCTGGCTAGTTCACTGTATTCTTTTTCTTTTTTTTTGTATTCATATTCTAAGGGAAATCCTTCACATTTTCTAGATAACAGTCTCTTTACACTGACCAGTGCTTCATTCTTTACAAACTCCTAACCGAGCACATCTGATTCAATTCATCAAGACTTTAGCAGCGTTTGAATGTTAGAATCAGGTGGAGATGATAAGAGCTGCAATAATACTCCACAAGATAATCACAAAACCAAAACAAAAGAAGAATTTGCAGATATGCAGGCATGTAACTTTTGGCCCGTTGTGTAGACGTGGCTGTGCTAAACAGATGAACGATGTACTGAAACGTTGGTGCTGTGGGTCTTACCTTCTCCTCCAGCTTGGCCACTTGTTCTCTGTAGAAGGCATCCTGCTTCCTCAGCTCTCGGTCTCTGTCCTCCAACTGCTTGGCCTGCAAAGGCAACACAAAAAAAGCCAGCAAATGAAGCATAGGCAAAAAGACAATGCACCCAAAAAGTGGTAAAATTTGCTTTGTTTCTATTTTTAACTTCTGCATATCCCAGCGAAGAGAATCCAAAGTAAAAGCGCGAGAGCTGCCTGCACAGTGCTGCGCTGTCATAATGAAATACATATGGATAAGGACGCCCTTAGCTCCTTCCAAGGGCATCAGTTCATGACAGGCCTCTATCAGTGTGTCATCAGAACTGTGTGTACGTGTGCATGCGTGTGTGCAGACGCGGCACTGAAAAGGCTGAAGGAAGAAGGATAACATCAGCAGGGGGACAATGGCGAATCTTTCCAGGCCTTATTTATGGCTCTTTGCTATCTCTGCTCCCTCTCCTATTGCCCCTCTCCATCCCTCTTTCTCTCTCTCTGTGTCTTCCTCTCCTGACCTTCAGCTCATGACTTCTGTTCATGCACGTTGTGTCCAAAGCAGGCCTTTAAACGAGGCAACAGGATACAATGTTTTTTCAGCATCTCCAAATTGATGCAAATAAGAGTAAAGACAATGATGGATTTGCTTTCAAATTAACAGTTCAACAGAAACGAGCTAGTAATTTAGTTCATTAATGTATAGGAGTGCACGGCTCATGGATGCTTTTTGGCAGATTTTAATATTTTTATAGCCAAATTGGCCAGGAGTAGGGCTGGCCCAAAGAGGATTTACAGGCTTTGTGTTCTAGTAAGGATTACATGTTCTCAATATTACACTGAGCAAGATTTTCTGATAAAATTGAATGATGTAGTATTATTAAGCCAGAAGAAAAAAAAACACATTAGAATATGGTGTTAGTGTGCTGCTGCGAGTCGCCCTGTAAAGCTAAAAAAAAAAAAAATAATAATAATAATAATAATTAAGTTGGGTAGGGAGCTTTTCAGACCACGTCTTACATCTTTGCTCAGGCTCAAAAGAAGGTCTGGCTCGATGTTTAGGTCTCAAATGCAAAATCAACATCATACTGATATGAGACAATAGCATAGGACATAATGACCATCGTAGATAATTCACTTATATCACTGAAAGGCACGTCTTACACCAGGTTTTCTTCGAATGCTCTTTCGGCGTGTTCGGAAAGAGTCCAATGCACAACCCACGTTACACAATGTTCTTCCACATGTTGCATGCTGCAGATTTTCACCACAGAGGTCTCCAAATCCACAAAACGTACACTGTGTAGCGTTAAAAACTATCACTTTTAACCTTACTATTAAGCGTGGTCGAAAATAATAAATAATAAAGTTGCATTCAACACATTCGATTACTCCACTAGCCAAATTAGCAGCTTGCATCTATGTGTGCTCTTGTTTTAATGTCATCTACAAGGTGTAATTGATATATTTGCAGCATTTTTATCATGTTCGTACATTTTTCCAGCTGTCTTTGTCATTCTTTTTAACACCTATATACCCATCTTTTATTTGAGTATGTATGTTAAGCCTTCGATAATCAATGTCTAAGTAGCCATTACAGTTACACCCCACTTGATGTCTCTTATCCTTTCCTAGAAGCATAATAAGTTTATGAAGGAGTGCACTTTGGTCGACTCTTCTTTATTAATTTTTATCCTTTGCATCTCAAGTGAATCAGAACGCTGTAAAAAAAAAAATTAAGGGACATCAAGAGAGAAGAAAATTAATCTAGACACGTAGATCAAGTTATCCGCAAGCTAAAGATGTAGTTTGATGTGTTATTAGCATTTTCAAGAGTTTCAAGTGAGTTGCAAGACGTTTTACAACACGCAACTCAAGGCAATTTAGTTTTGTGTAGTTTTCAAGTAGTTAAAGTTGCAAGAAAGTTTCACTGTGTAAAGTCAGCCTAAGACGTTGGTAAAAGACGAAGCTTCAGAATATTAAATAAGGAAACAATACAACACAAATGAATACTGAAGTACTGAATTATTCAGACCATTCCTATTCAACACTGTTTTTTTTTTTGTTTTGTTTTAAAAGCTACAGGCAATAATATTGCTTACTTACTCTTCACCCTCTTTACCTGAGGCTCAGCTTTGGTGGGCTGATTGAACACAGTGACATGAACACACAGGCTGGTGGGTAGGCTGGTGCCATGCATGGCATGGAGACTACTTGGCAGACTCATAATATTTGTCAGATAATGAGCCAAAATAAAAATAAATAGCAGACTGTTGTTCACACATTAGGGGCAAATATTGGCCAATTCTGATCGTGCACCTCTAATGCCTACAGCAGGGTAATAGCATTTACAACTTCTGTTGTTCTCATAAGACTGATGATGGTCTTAATAAAGGCTAAAGGTGTTCACATCACATGCAGAAAGAGGACAAAAGAGAGAGTGAGGGTGATGGATGAAAGCACAGAAAAAAAAAAAAAGCAGGGAAAGGAAAAAGCCAAAAGAGTCTAAAGTCAGAAAGGCTTTGTGTTGTGCCTTACCTTACGCTCCATCCCCTGCAGCGAGAGAGAGAGAGAGAGAGAGAGAGAGAGAGAGAGAGAGAGAGAGAGAGAGAGAGAGAGAGAGTGTTAGAAACTGGGAGAGACAGAGACACAAAGAAAGAGGGAAGGGGAGAAAATATAAAAAGGACAGATCTGACCAAGAAATGCTTTAAATTACATTTCCAGGCTTTAGCACTAAAAGGTTGCTGGGTGAATGCACTGTTTACTCTTTCACAAACACACACACACACACACACACACACACTGCAGTGTGAAGCAGCAGTGTATTAGAGGAGGCCACGCGAACGCCGCAGCCTTGCTGCTCCATCATCACGCGCATTTATGAGTGCGGAGAAAAAAAAAGAAAAGAAAAATGTGCTTATGAAAGAAAAATCTAATCTAAATCCAATCCCAGCTGAGTGATAGGCATCAGGGTTGAGATACTGGCCTCATTGAGATACGTGCTCTGCGCATAGTGATGAATCTCTCTCTCTCTCACACACACACACACACACACACACACACACACACACACACACACACACACACACACAGATCTGAAGCAATGCATATACAATCACCAGCACTTCAATGACACGTCCTTTAGGCATTTTATACAGACATGTATGTTATGTGAAGGTTCACAGATTTGCGTAACACACTCCTCAAACACACCTGACTCAAGATCATTTATGATGATGATAATTAGATGACAAGCTGGGGGCGGGGTTAATACTAGGGATGCACCAATACCACTTTTTCCCTTCCAACACCGACACCTGATCCTTTAGTATCGGCCAATATCAAGTACCTATACCGATACTAACTCTACGTAACCTAACTCACTTATAAGTCCTGATATTTATACAATTATTTTATTTTGGTAAAATCTATGTTCTGTGTCACAAATAAAACGGGAATATATTTATTAGATGCTTAAGAAAACTTATTTTTGTTTATGTACCATATATCTAGTATTTACTAATGTATAATTAATAATAAGAACCATGTTTACTATGTAAACGTTTCCCATTACACTAATGACGTGTCAATAAATTAGTTATCTGCTTTCATTTGCTTACAAGCATTTGCCTCAACTCAAGCTGAAGTGGCTAAACTGGCTGAATAGCTATCTAGCTTCCTAGCAGCTGATACTTGGTAGCTCCCAAATGATGACGGACACGGCGTTCAAATAAACAAACATTACTCTCTGCTGCCCTCTAAAGGTGTTACTGCACCTGTTATACATTCCATTGTTTTCATAAGACTCATGACGCACCTGAATAAAAGCGTTTTCTGCTTTTAATTTGTTTAGATGTATTTGCTTCAAGCCCAACTGAAAAACAATTGTTTGCTGTGATGTAAAAACTGTGAAAACTAACAAGTATGTAAAATTAAGTCAGCTTGAACAATTGCAATCAGGTGATTATGTAAGAATAAAGAGTAAAACCGAAAACAGCAACCAAAACCACAAAACCACAAAAAAGAGCATAGTGAGTGCTGCAAAAACACCGGATGTCTCCTCTCAAGCAAGTCCAGACCTCTGGCTGACCAAGAATGACCTCTGCTCTCAATACATACACACGCACGCACAGACAGCAAAAAAACGCCAATATAAACGCTCAGCCCGGGTCTGGGAGCCAATTACAGGCCTCTGCGTGGGAGAGGAGCAGTTTTAGTAATCAGTCAATGCAACGCTTCAGCTGTGTAGCTAGTATGAAAAGAAAAGCTGCCTCTATGATTGACCTTCATCTTGACTCCACAACACGCACACATACTCACGGAGCAGCTGCATTCACAGCCCAATAGATAAACGCTGTGAAAGCGTAACCAATGCGCAATTAAAAACAGGGAGGCACCGACATCAATGTGCGACCAGGGATTTTCTCTCTCGCGCTCTTTTTCCACCGAGCTATCACAATGGATCAGAGGGGGCATATGGCAGTGCCGCCGTCGCTCGGTCACACGAGGTGTCAGGATTACTTCCATCTGATTAAACTCATTCAACCCCACCTAGATCATCTAATCACATTACAACCCCAACAAAAGACTGCGATTCACACCGCCAATGACGCACCATTGTGCCCCCTAATGAAGAACAGGGATGGGAATTAATCAAAAGAAAGTCAACTATAAATGCATAGAACAAGAGAGGTGGAGGGGAAGAACGAATGAAAGAGGACAACAATGGAGGAAATTTATCATAAAAAGCTGCCACCACTCAAGAGACATGTGGTTTACATCAGAGGCCGAAGGAAGAAAAGAGACGAGACGAGAAAAGGACATGTCCAAACCTTGGCGTACTTCCACTCTGACAAGATCTTACGGCAGAAAATCAAACTAGTGCCTGTGCTAGAGGTGACAGGCAGGAAGTTCCTCTAGACAGACATCTAAAACTCCATTAAAAAGTCATTGATGATAATGAAAGTTATCAACACTACTGAAATAGAAATAGTTTGGGGAAAAAATAACATTAGTAGATCAGACAAAAGGAGGCAAAAGCATGGACGAAATTCAAGTTCATATCTGTGTTATGAGATGTTGCTTTGTCCTTTTTTATAGGTAACAGTATGTCAGTGTCAGAAACCATACAAGTAAGTCTATTAAATTACTTAGCAACCTGACATGCTTTGAGGCAAGTGTGTGATGATTTAGGCGTACAGTTCAGGCTAGGTTTTTGTGGCTAGACCCTTGGTACTCAAGCACAGAGAACGAAAGGAACTAATCAGGTAACACTTTATTTGGATAGTCTACTTTAGACGCTTTGAAGATACTTAATGTACTTTCAAGTTACATTCAACTAAATATCTACTAATTCTAACCCTAACCTCAACCCAAAGCCTAAACCCAACCCTCACCCTGGTTCAACCCCTAACCCTGACCCCACCACTGTTCAGAATCAACAGAGTTTCAACAGATAGTTAACAATTTGAACATCTGTAGATGATCTATAGGGGACTATAGTGGACTATCTAAATAAAACGAGACCTATAATTATAATGAAGTTAAACTGTGTGGTCAAGTTTAATATAAAGTACTTTTGCACACAGTCCAAACCTAAAACCAGAGATAACATAACATTATGTACAGGACAACAATTAATAATAAAAAAAAAAAAAAACTCAGGCCCGTATTCACAAAGCTTCTGATCTAAGATCAAATTCCTCTCTTACTATGACTGTAAACCCTGTACCTGCTGACAATGACATATATATACACACACATACATATACACACACACACACACACACACACACACACACACATATACATACATATATATTATATGTATAAAATTTTGTTTACTGCAGAGGACGAAAAGGAGAAAAATTTAGTGGTTTTAACAAGAAATTCCAGAGGCTAAATTGGAGGGGTAACTGGAATTATTTAGTTCAAGGACTGTTAATACACAGCAAGTCAAGTACAATACAGCACCGTTTTTAGGTGCTTTGATTTATTTTAAATCTGCTGCTTATGATGCCAAAGTCAAAAGGTCAGTGTGTACAAAATCAAGCCCACATCTATTATCAATCAGACTATTATAAAAACTTTTCCTATCCTTTGTATTCTACCAGCTCCTTATAGTGTTGTGCTTGGACCCCGGTGATCGCCACTTGAGATGTAGATAGTCATATTGCTTTCATAGTGGTTATAACAGTCCTCAGAAATCAACACATTCCACACAGCTTCAAACTAAATAATACCCAATTGTCTTGGTGATAATTTATAAATATTAACCTTTTTCACTCATTTATGAAAAACTAAGGAGGAAAGAAGTGCAAATGTGTGAAAATGAAACCAACTTCACTGCTCTGGAAATGAGGCTCTCTCACATTTCAGTAACGTTATCTTAGTGCTGATGGCATATTCGCCATTCAAAATGCCGAATTTGGCAAAAAATGACACGTTTGCATGCATGTCGACAGTTACAATATAAGTGAAGACCTGGCAGAACTTCCACCAACTTTTTCCAAAGAAGAAAACAGTGTTTTGTCATGACACCCAGAGACACTTACACTTACTATATTCAGTATACATAATGCATTAATGCTGAAAATCTCATGCACAAAGTGTTCAAAGTGTTCCTAACTTTTCAAAACACCACAGAAGGACCCAACTTCACCGAGCCTTTCTCTAAAAGTTTGTCAAAGATATAATGCGTCAGGAACTTTCATTTAATTATGAGTAGCACGAGCTCTTCCCACACAATCTCTGAGCGCTCCGAGAAAGATGACTCCTGCATCAGAGTTACAGACCCTATGGTCAAATTAAACGGATCGTTTAGGAGGAAGAGTGTCTTACGGAATATCAATTAGCCGCAGTTGAATAATTAAGAGAGTTTTTAATTAGCTGAGCACTGCAGTTTGAGCGCGTGGAGTGAGGAGGGAGGTAAACGGCAAATGCGTGCTGTGTCAGGGACATGAGCGTAGCCTTTGTTCCCTCTCGCACCTCTCCTCGACATCCATTGCTTCCTTTGTCTTTGTTCATTTCTCTCTCCATCCTGAGCTCTGCCGTGCTGAGATTTCAGGTAATATAAGAAGTACAAACAGCTAAACTGAGGTCCATGAGTCTTGAAAAGAAATAAAAAGCAGCACTGCATCACCTCTGTAGCCGACACATTCACTGACTCCAAGCCAAACAAAGAGGACCACTAGCGTGAGGGAAAAAAGATCATGTCCAAATACATGTTTTAAATTACAACTTGTAGGGAAGTGAAATATACCATGAGTTAGTTGTTATCATAATAGCAACCTCTGCAATTTTGCTATTACCGCTGTATATTGCAGTAATTCCATGATTTCTTTTTACTTTTTGTTGTATACCAATGAATATATGTTAACACAGCACTGTTTAACGAAAAAACTTTTGCTTTGTAAGTACCTTTTGGTCACCAAATCACCACCACGAGTCTTATTTAGCACCAATCCAGCGGCGTTCTTCTTCTAGTGCACTACGTAGGAATTTAAATACTGGATCCTGCAGCCCAGCAGTGTAAAATACAGCTAATTTGAGAC